GAATAGTAAATAAAGAAGTGAAGCAAACAATTATCTCTTTTAGTTATGACCTTTGTACTCGGTTTCTGCTTCATGTAGGTTGCTAAGCTTTTTAAAATTTTGCACATGGTGGATATGAAACATAATAATTTTTTTAGATTATATACAGTATATAACTGTATATATATTTATATAACTGTATATATATTTTTTTACATATATATACAGTTGAATAACAAAAAAATCATAACTTACTATATCGATACCATAGAATTCCATTATAATTTATCAAACTTAATAACTAAGCTGTTTTGGGGTTTCAAAAAATATGAAATTCAAGCAGACTAAAGATACAACCTACCTCATTGACATCTTGGTTCAAAGAATGAGATGGTGTCCTAACACACGAAAATGGCTGAGGGGACATTTTGAACTTTTGATATTCACATGTCATATTTTGAAGTAAATGTATATAAGGGACCGTTTCCAAAAATAGAAAGAGGTGAGCAGGGCCACTGTGTTCAATTCAGTACATGAGTGATATCTCAGCAAATAGAAAAGATAAGAGGTTATTATTGTATGTTCTAGCTTGTCATTATCAGTCATTTGAGTTCCTAATTCGTATGAAACTCTAGAGTTAGTATTTTGACATTACAAACATCTAATCTGAACCAGTGCTGCATTGAATATACCACATGACACACAAAAATCGATATTTAACTGTGTTTCTTTAATATTTAAATTTAAATTAAGAAATTAAATAATGTATAGTACTAAAATTTGAATTATAATCTGCAGTTGGATACCAAGCTAATTGATATAAATTCATGAATTAGTAGTTCAATAAAATTTTGAATCCGGGTCAACAAAAGTGATGACATGGCCTTTGACCCGTGCTGCGTCTGAAGAGGTTTAAGAGATTTTTTAAAATTTTGTTAACAATTTTATAAGCATTTTTTATGAAAAGTTATACCTTTATGCATTTGGCCCTCACCCTCAAATTCTAATCTTTACCATCACAATTAATTTATTGCAGAGTCAGGCATTTGACCATGTAGGTATATTTCTTCGAGAACCACTTGTTGTTTTTCTTACATGGTTCAATGTATAAGACTTTATCAAAAATCAGGTTTGAACATAACATGAAAATATACATATGCCAAAATTCTAATAAAGGACCACTTACATGAGATGACCATATACGAAAAATGTTTTCATGAAATACTAGAAAAACAATAAACATTCTTTATACGTGTATTGTTACTATAATGTAATTAATTTTAAAAACATGTTAATAAAACATTTATTTATATTTAATTTTCAGAATAAAAATTAATCAGGATTTACTGTTGTGTGAAAGGCATTCAGCTAGTTGTTTGATGTTAAAAAAAAGGATTAATGATTTTATTCGTATTTCACAAAAACAGTAGTTTTGATCAGTTCTACAACTATTATATTAAGTACCCTGGACAGTATTTTAACTTCTTTCTATTAGAGACTGTAAAGTATTAAAGAATAATAAAACTCAATTCTCCTTACTATCACTCTATCTTGAATTTTGTCTAGTGCCCATATTGTGGAATCAAGGTTTAAAATTGAAAAATGTTTAATTTTGGCTTTCATATATTTCCAGTTTTAAGTGAATACAGTGAAATCATGTCTAAGACACAATAATACATGGCTAATGTATTTGTGTTTTACAGTTAGGTAGTAGTTAATTTTTTCTTATTTAAATACTACAGGGTCTGGAAGCAGAAATTAAATCTCATTGGGCAAGAACCCAGAAGGTGATCAAAGCTGGAGAAAAATTGGTCCAAACCAATCATCCACAGAGCAGGGATATTCGACAGAGGATTCAAACTTTGAAGAACAAATGGGATCACCTACATGAACTGACAGCTTTAAGACGTAAACAGTTAGAGGATGCATCTTCAGCTTATCAGGTATTAATTTCCAATTCTAATGTATAACACATCTATGTACACTGTACAGTCATTTTTTCTTCTCACAAGTCATCTTTGAGATACTTTGATGAATGTCTGTTTTTTGGTCTGAAAATTTCATAGAATAATGTTTTAACATTTTCTAATTCTTCACATCAGTTATTTCTCTTGAACAAGTCAACATTAACATTGACTTTATTAGTAATGTTTCACCAGTTGTAGAGTTTGAAGAGTATTTTTAAGCTTTTCATTTTTATGTTTTAAAAATACAATTCATAGATTCATGATATGTAAAGTTTAAAAACTGCTAAATAAAATTAATGAACAAAATAACTATCTATTTGCAAAAAAAACAACAACAAGATTTTACATTTAGTTTGTAAAAGACAAGAAAGTGCATGTATATTATGTATTATAAATTCTATGCCTATATTTCAAATTATATTTCTTAGCTTAGGACAAAAGAACTTTTATATTTAAAGATAAACCTGAACGTTTTTTGAACAATTCTTTTGAGATATATTAGGATACTGAAGGACATCAAATTGCAATATTCTATTCTCTCTGTATAAGAAAGCTTGATACACTTCTGCATTTCCTAAGATTATTTAGTGAACAAATTTTTATTCAATAAATTGTGAAAATTGCTGACATTCAATATTTTAACAGTATTATGCTGATGTGAATGAAGCAGAATCTTGGATGCGAGAAAAAATGTCTCTTGTTTCAAGTGAAGATTTTGGTGAAGATGAACCAAGTGCTAGAGTAAGTAAATATAAAAAGTTTGGCTTGCTTTCTCCCCTCAGTTATTTATTTTTTAAATTTATTTCCTTTAAAGTTATTAGTATAACTGGAAAAGTTCATTTTAAGTTGATAATAATAAAAGAGTTGGTGCTTTATTGCAGTGCCTCTAGACATTCTTTTCATTCTCTAATGATCTGTAATTAAAGATTTGACAAGTATAAAAAAACAAAACAAAACATGCTCTTTTATTTTTTTAAAGGAAAAATATAATCAAATTAAAGTTAAAATAAAGCTATAAGATGAACATGCTTTGTCTAACTTAATGGATTTATTACATATAGTATAATATTGATTGTTATTCAATTTTTAAACATTGTTACATTTTAGATTTTTTATGTAACTAAACAAACTGAAGATATATGTATATTCAGTTTTTTAGTGTGTAAGTAAATAAAATACTTATTATTTGAGTTTAAAAAATCTATGCATAAACTGCAATTTCATAATTGCAGTTATTTTTCAAAATTAAGTTTAATTAGACCACAGAAATGTTTTCATTTATGATATGAGCTATATACCAGCCTTAAAAGGGAAGTCTATAAACCAGTATCCTTGGCCAATAAGTTGGTAATAATCAAATTATTAAAATCTGTCCAAGTTCATTGTCATCATTGAATTATTGTATGGTGAGAAGTGGTTTAATTTGTTTGTTGAATTTTACACAAAGTTACATAATGACAATTTGTGCCATCTGTCCTTAAATTTGAAGTAACAGATGAGAGAAGGTGGCTAGTTAACATGACCCACCACCAGTGCTTTGGCTACATTTCAGAGAGAATAGGAGGATTTAACCATCACTCATATAACACATTCACAATCCCAAAGTGTAGAATGTGATTTTAATCTGGTGGTAACGGATTGGGAACCAAGAAACCTCAGATCCACAGTATATTATGCTAAGTACTGGGCCATGCTTTGCTCCAAAGAAGTTTATTGAATATAAAACCATTATTTTTCATAATCATTCCTAAAGAAAAACTAACACTTAAGCATTTGGATAAAATAAAAAGTGAGAGAGTACCAGTTCGTGTTGAGTTACAATATAACTTTGCAGAGGTTTATAAATAAAATACGAAATGTTAAACAGTCTTTAATTAATTGAAAACAGATGCTTCAAATAAAGAAACTTAAAGCTATAAAATAACTAATATTTCAATTTCAACGTCTAAATTGTAGTTGGTTTATAAGGAGTTGAAATCATTCTAACTTGTTTTTTTATTATAGAAAATATGTAGGCTTATTGGACAAGATCAGAACTATAATTATTAAGAAATTGATTTATTAGTTTGAATTACTTTTAATAGGAAAAAATATTTGATTATATATTGCTTCAGTTTTTGTGATCAAGTAGGAGGATTTAAAAGTTTTGAGTAAGATTTTAAAATTAAGAAACATAGAAATAATGTTTGGATTAAAAATAATTTAAGGTTGTACAACTTATATGTAAGTTGAATTACTTTTGAGTAACCTTAAAATAATGAGTAAAATGGTGTATTTTTTAGGCTCTTTTGCAGAGACATAGCCGGTTAGAGAGTGAGATCAAGGCTTATGAAGCTGACATTCAGCGACTGAATGATCAATCAGACAAAATGATAAAATCAGGAATTGCTACTCTCAGTGTAAGTTTATGAAATTTTAGATAACTTAAGAAATGGATTACATACTTCATCACATGGAAAGTAATTTTTTTAATGTAACATAATGTTTACAGACAACAAGGGACCTATTGCTTCATCTAGGCTGTCCTATCCTCTAAAATAAACTCAAATTATTAACTAAAGAGAAAAAACCTCAAAGCCAGCCCTATAGTTATCAAGCTTTTTCTTAAACTCACTGAAATTTACTGTTTCCACAACATCCAAAAGCAATCCGTTCTAAAGGCTTGCCATCCTTTTAGAAAATAAAACTGTCTTAGTTGAAGATGACTCCTACCCTGCCAAAATTTATGTGTGTCCCATAGCCTTACCATTCTCATCATTAAGTACAAAAAAGATGATGCATCAACACTATCAATTCCCTTAACAATCTTAAACACTTCAATCAGATCTCCTTTAACTTAGAGATCTTAACCTCTCCTCACATGACAACCCCTTCATCCCAGGCACCATTCTAGAAGCCCTTCTCTGAACCCTTTCAACAATTCAATGTCTTTCCTAAGGTAAGGAGCCCAAGAATAAACACAAAACTTCAGATATGGCCTAACCAGTGACCTATATAATGAAATTATAATCTCTTTAGATTTCTATTCAATATTTCTTTTGATACAACCTAATGTTCTATTCGCCCTACTACTAGCAACAGCACACTGCTTGGATGGCTTAAGAAACTGATCAACCACTACAACAAGATCCCTTTCTTTCATAACACTGTTAAGGTTATTCCCATCCAAGTTATATTTACAATTCAAATTGTGATAACTCATATGAATTATCTTGCATTTGTTATAATTAAAAGCTATCTGCCATTTATTTGCCCAACTCACTAAATGATGTAAATCCTTTTGTAAAGCAGCAGCAGCATCCTCACAGCCAACAACACCCAAGCCATTAATATCATCAGCAAATTTAAGTAATTTATTTACCATTCCTTCATCTATATCATTGATGTAAATCAAAAAGAGCAAAGGTTCTAAGACTGGGCCCTGAGATATCTCACTTGTAACATTCATCCAGTTTGACTGAACTCCATTTGTAACAACCCTCTACTTTCTTTCATCCAGCCACTCTTCTCTCCAATTTGCTAACTTATCCCCCACACTTACAGAGATAATTTTTTACAAGCCTTTTATGTGGCACCTTGTCAAATGTTTTCTGAAAATCCAGATACACCAAATCTACACCCTTACTACATAAGCTGTAACCTTTTTTATCATATGTACATTTTTTATGAGATTCTTAACATGATACAACTTTATTGCAGTAAGAAATCAGTTTATTGTAATTTTTTTATATAATTTTTGTTTTTGTTTGTTTATCATCATTACAACATTTAATGTCCTATTTGGTATGTCAAGTAGTAAGGTATGTCATGAAATTTAGTTGTAACGCAATTATTACTTAACACTAACTGAGTTCTCTGTTGGTAGTTTGTACTAGTATTCAAAAATTTATTCTTGGCCATTAGGTGTAAAGTGTAGTGATCATTATTTTCACAGGGGGTTAAGAATGCAATATCAAACAGTTTTGGTGCCTCGCTACTTTGTTACAGTCGTTGTTGCCACTCTGATCATGCCCTTATCTGATGACCATGTATGTTGAAAATATTCCCGTAGCATAGTTTCTATTGCAAAGAACTTCATTAGTCCTTCTTACTGCTTTTCATATTCCATCTAGCATACAAGGACAACAGCTTCCCAGCATGCATTTCAACAGTTTGATTGGACAGAAATCCACAGGTACTGTGTTTGGCTAGTATGTCTTTGTAGGGAATACCATGAATACCCATTTCCTCCTAAAGCTGCTTGAGATATGTGTGAAATTGAACAGGAGGTATCATTGGAAGCTTTAATTTTGATGAACCCATATTCTATTGGCCTCATTTTCATATGTAAGTCATTCTTGATTATGTTACATATTGTTGCCTAGCCCACGGTGACCACTTTTGCCACTGATCTTTGTGTATGTGGATTCTCATCTTTTACAAGATGTGTTACTTTGCTTACAATATCTGAGGTGTGACTTGTTGCAGGTATCTTTCTGGATGTTACTGATGTCCTAAGTTGATCCATATTTTTTTTTCCAATGTCATGACATACAAAGGGATATCTCTGTCTTGGAAATTCTAAATCTCTAACTTGAACACATCTTTATTATTTGAGTGTGAGTATTTTGCATTGTAAACGGTTGTTACATACCTTGTCAAAGCAATTGGCTTTTGGTGGCATAACATTACCTATATAACACCAAACAATGTCAAAATGTAGCTCTGATGATAAACATTATATTGCTCATATAACCAATTTCATAGGCCTTGAAGAACATTTTTAAATATCAACATATTTAGCTAAAACACTTTATCCTGTGTCTATTACAAGGTTTTAGATAATACTCCAGAAGAACCAGAGAAAGAGGAGTGGATAGAGGAGGTAATAATGGTTCCAACAGAAGAGTGGGTAGATGAAATTGTTGAACAAGAAGTATTAAGGGACACAATAGAAGAACGAAGAATTCCTCAAGTTCGAGCACTTTATGCTTTTCGTGGCCAAGGAATGGAAATGCAGAAAGGAGAGGTAAATTTTTTTCATAATTATGACAAATTCCAAGTATTTACATATTCTTATTTAAAATTTAAAAGTAATGCCATAAAACTTGTATGTGTAAAAATATGCACTTGTACCTAAAATTGAACTTTTTTTTTCAATTCCATCTGTAGGTGATGCTATTGTTACAAAAAACAAATTCTGATTGGTGGCATGCCCGCAGAGGAAATGGACAAGATGGATTTGTTCCAGCTAACTATGTGAAAGAAATTGAACCCAAAGTTATTAAAAAAGTTGTTAAACAGTCAGTCAAAGTTCCTCAGAAACAGAGAGTCAAAAAACGAGTTATGAAACAACAAGTTGTAAAAAAGAAAAAACAGTCTCCAAATAATAGTGAGTATTGAGATTTGTATGTAGATATGATTTAATATTAAAGATTTGTGTTTTTGCAACTTTAATGTATTTAAAAAAATAAAAGTTCATGGTTTTTAATTAGAATGCAGAAGTTAATCAGTTTACAATCTTTCTATTAATTTTAAGTGGTTACTTTAGAAAGGTCAATGTTGGATATGAAAGAAGACTAGGCAAATTTTTTTCACTATCAGATTTCATTAGACAACTTGCAAAACTCTTTCTTCATTTCATGATTTTAAATGATGTTAATAGTTTCCTTTGTGGTATTTGATTGCACATAATTTGGAAGTGTTTTAACCCTTCATAGTTAAAAAAACTTGTTAATCAAAAAAGGGGGATACTGCTTGTGATGACTAACCAAACTTATATTACCTCATAATGGCTTTAGTGTATATTTAATGTTTTTGCTTTTTGAGGATGGTAAAAAGTTAGTATAAAATTCTATTTTTGTAAATTAATAACATGTACGTATATTTCATACTTTACTTATTTATGAAACTATTTTTTGTAAAGATTAGTAGCTGTGCTGAAAAGCTTTAGACCGGTAGTACTTGAGTTGACATAAAGTGAATGTTCTTATTCATTTAATGTTTGTTTTTTTGATCCTTAGTTTTCTAAATGCCATTAAAGGCAATATATGATGTTTGTTGTATTTCATGCCCTAAATTATCAAATTATAAATAGTAAACTTTACTGTTTTTTATTTCTGTATGTCTTTCAGAAAAACCCTTATCAAGATCTTCAAGTCGTAAAGATGGAATGAAAGTGGAAGAGCGCCAAAAAGCAATAAATAAAACTTTTGATGACTTGGTTCACCTTGCCAAGGTATTATTCTCTGAAAAGAGATATAAGGCTTGAAATTATATCATAAACAGCTTTTTGTAGTTAATAATATTGGATTACTAAACATTTTGACATTATTGGCAGCACTATTATGAATTGTTTAATCTGTTTTGATATCTGACCATGATTTCATAGCCACACCTAGAGCTGATTGGAATAATACTGTATATGTACAGGTTTATGTTTCATAGACAGTATTTTATGAACTATTAACAAAATCTTACTGAATAGCAATAGAAAGTGTATTTCAATGTCATTTGATATTAAATTAAGTTTATTTTCCAATCTTTTGATTCCTAATAATAATATTCTCTGATACCTGCTTTATTTTCTTAAGATCACATAATTTTTTAATGACTTTTTTCAATAGGCCAGGCGTAACTTTTTAGAAGATGCTCTCAAGCTGTTTGGATTTTACAGAGATTGTGAAGATTTTGAAAATTGGATGAAAGATAAGGTAGATTTTTTTAATTGATAATGATAAAAGTATCAACACATTGCTAATAGTTCAAATTATATTTCTGTAAACTTTACATGTAGTTCTGATTATTTGTACACATTTTAAAACTTGTTAATCTGAGTGTTTTTTACAACAAGTTCTATAAAGTGGAGGAAAGTTTGCATTATTAAAGTTATCAGGTTTAATATAAAAACGTTTCTAAACTTCTGTAGTTCACATACTTTTTTAGTTAAACTTTTATTGGATAAAACTGAACTATTGTACTGTGTTTATGCATATAGAGCCATGTTTATTTTTTTATTTTTTGTTAAATATCAATAGTTTAATTATGTAACATTTTTATATTGTTTTTGGTGTTTGTATTTTGTGAGGTCTGTATTCCTCATTTTATTTAATATGTATAATTTTTGTTGTTAAAAGTTTAAGTACAAAGTAGTTTAACATATTATTATCTACTATAACAGAATAATATCTGAAGAATCAGTAAATCTATATGTATATGAAGATTAACAAATTCACTTCAACTATATATTCTTTATTTATTATCAAATGTCATGTGTGAGCAGTAAGATACATTATTTAGAAGAAAGATTTTTTTCATTTTAAAGTATGCTTTTAGCTGTTTTTATGGTTTTTAAATTCCAATTTTTGATTAGTTTTAAAATATGTAATTTATAATATTTAAAATTTTAAAAAATGTCTGAAATAATAAATTTACTATTTATTATACTTGTCACATACGTTGATATTAAAATTAAGTTTTATCTAATTAACTGCAGGAAAGAATGTTGACAACAGATGATGCCAATGACAGTGTTGATGTAATGAAGAAAAAGTTTGAGGTCTGTATTCCTTGTTTTATTTGATATGAATAATTTGGGTTCTTAAAAGTCATACAATACAAAGTAGCTTAACATAATGTTATTTACTGGTAGTTACTTTATTTAATATGATCCAGAAAATTACAAAAATGAAAAATTAAAGCCAACTTTTAGTATATTGTAATTTTCTTTCCAGCATTTCTTGACTGACTTATCAGCAACTAGTCGACGAGTAGAAGATGTTGATCAAATGGTCAATGAATTTGTCCATACAAAACACAGCCAGATTGGAGCTATAAAAACAAGACAGAGACAGATACATGACAGGCAAGGCTTTGCTGTATTTTTCATTCCTTTTTAGGTTATAAAAAATGATTATTGGTCAAGATTTGTCTAATGGTTTTAATTGTGTTTAATAATGGATAATATTTCTTTTTAACTTTTGTTTTAAGAGCTGTGATAGGTTTCCCTTGATTTTTGCATCCTTAAATAGCTAAGTTATTCCAAAATATAAATGTTTTATATGTACAAACCTGACAACATAAAGTTACCAGAGGAGACGTGAAAACTATCAGGTTTAATGTTAACTTAAGTTTGTGTTTTTTTTATCATAATATATGTTAATATTTTTATTTTTTTATTTTTTGTTTTTTTATTTCTCACAGTAGAAATATTTAATCAAATTGCATGGCACTTAGTACAAACTTACTAAATAGTATTTAGTTTTGGTTCAAAATATTCATATAATTTGATTTAGTATTTCTACCATTTTTTAAGTTGGGAAATTTCCAAAATTTTGTTTTTAGACACTGTTTTGTAAAAAAAATAAAAAATACTTAATAACCCTTTCTGGACCAGTGAGCATTTCTGCCCATCCCAAGGCATAGATTTTTATTTGATAAGAAAGTATCATCCATTGAGAATACAATTAACCAAATCTTGTTTCTCCCTTCTCCCATTATTTTCTGTCCCTGTCTGATGATTTATTATTACAGGCCTTTGTGCTCACTCTTTTTTGACCTCACAGTGTGTGATGTGACAAACACTAAAGAAGCACAGTTTGGAAATAGGTATAGAAAAAGTTTATGTGCCACTGGATAGAGGAGATTACAAACTATTCATTACAATGTAGAGTGAATAAGTGTGTGATAAGTAATTTATGTTTAACCCTCTCATTATGGGCAGGTAAAATTGTGCATGTCATGACTTTTTAGAGAGTTACATTAAAAATCTAATTAAATTACTTTATTATCATGGTATACAAATAAACGTGGCATAAAAACATAGTTAATAAATCAAATATTGATATTACATAACTTTTAAGTTCTTAATTTTATAAGGAAATATTTTTAAAAAATCTTTAATTTCACCCTAGTATGAGAATTGTAATGTTTGCTCTCTAAGTATTCCTCCTTCTATAATTTATTTACTACCCCCTCCGAAAGGTATGGAATTTAATGTAAATTTCTCATTCTAATGCTGTTATTACTCATACAAAGTATAATATTTATAGCCTTCACTCTTATTTGGTTACAGAGCCATAAAATTGAAACTCAGACCATTCTTCCCATGTCCAGCTGTCACATCCTCTCTTTCACAAATTACCAATAGTTCTCTCTGACATTTAACTATATTATTTATAACTAATAGAACTAATAGAGTTTCAATCTATCAAATGACATATTATATCACGGTGTTTTCTGTACAGAGAATTGTCTACTTTACTTGCAGTTCCAACTTTATTCCCATGGGAAATGCATCGACAAGATTAGCAGAATTTTTAATGGCTCTTATCAAATATTTAGAAAGCCAGAACAATTATGATATTATAGGATGTTATCTGCTTTTTATGTGTTGTTATTCTGTGTTCTTAGGTGCATTATTTAATTAAATAAAAAAATACTTAGTATAGTTGTATCTTTAGTATAAAAAAGTAAGGTTAAGTTTTGTCAACAGCAAAAAAAAAGACCCAAGTAAGTGTTATATTTGTTGTTTTTCACGTGTATTCTCTATTTATTGCTATAAAAGTAACTAAATTTTAAAAATTAGAAACTTATTAGGTTAGATAGCTAGATTGTTTATGGTGTAGTTAAGTAGAATTCAGTAAATATTTGTTTCTAAACATTAAAGTGTATGTGTTGGACCTCTTAATCAGTTAAACATCAGACCTTAGGTGATAAACAGCAGTAAGCCTTTGACTCAGTTCAAAGAAAATATTGTGCATGTCTTAGATGTATAAATAGGTTAGCTTTTTGTTTTTTTTTGTTATTAAAACCATAATTGAAGTTGTTGAATAATATTATATCTGTCCAAATTGATTAATGAGATGTACAGTTTTTGAAGGCTTTCTGTTATGGAAAAAAAATATAAATGAATGAAAGTTGACCATGAACTACAATTGAAGGTTCTTCTTAGCCTAAAATTGAAGTTTGAAAAATATATAAAAGTATAAATAATGGACTTTTTTTTTACACATATATTCATACAAAATTGAATTTACCGACTAAAATATTTGTATGTTAATAGGTGGAACAGGTTAAATAAGCTGAAAACTGAGAAGGAACGAAGCTTGGAGGGAGCCACCAGGTCAGTAGTCTTAATTTTATTTGTATTTTATGATTAATTTGACAAAATTATTTTTCTAAATGAGATCTTAAGACATTTTTGATCAATTGCACTGAGGTTAGAGTATGTTGATAATCATTAATGTATTTACAAAATATATGTTATACATGATATGAAAGTATCACTAATGTAACAGATTTTCAATTGGTTCATTTTGAAAAGACGGAAGACTCATACATATAATGTTTGATACTGCTAAAATATGATATTTTACACTGATTTGCTCACAGTTTTATATCCAACACAACAGTTTGCAAAGTTCCCTTTTTTTCTTCTATGATTAAAAAATGAAAATATTATCAATTTCGAAATACTAATGATTCGAAGTAGGCTAAATTTCACTCTGATTTATAGTTAAATAATTAATTCAAGCAGTAAGCTTAAACACTAAAGCAGTGAAAATATCTACATAAGCTCATTCTATTAATTTATGATCACTCTAAAACTTTCTCATAAGAAGTTACATTCCACAACTTTTTCAAACTTACATCTTACAGTTCTCTATACAAAGTTACTTTTTCCACATAAATCCAGTCCCATCATGGCTTGGTGATTAGGGCACTTGACTTACAAAGTGTTGGTCACAAGTTTGAACACTATCATCAAACATGCTTGGCCTTTTAGCCATGGGGATGTTATAATGTGACAATCAATCCCACTTTTCATTGGCAACAGTGTAGCCCAATAGTTGACACTGGGTGATGTTAACTAGCTGCATTCTCTCTGATCTGTCACTTCTAACTTAGGGATGACTAGTGCAGATAGAACTTGAGTAGCTTTGCACAAAATTTAATAAAACAAAACTGCCTATATTATTCCATAAGATTCTAAACATCTTCACAGGAGATTTATTTTTTGAAGTTGACTTAATGAGTATAAATATATGAATGAATCAGAAAAAAAAAAGAGCTTATTGACTAACCCTAGCTATGGAATTATGAAAGTTATCAACAAATTGTTTCATTATAAAAGGGCACAATATGCTTTACATAAAACAAAAATTATATGGCATTTCAAGCTCAGGAAGTCTGTCTGGCATTCTGTAATTTTAGGTATGTGGCAAGACATCTTAAAACCTGCTGTGTATAAAATGAGCTATTTGATTGTTTTAACAATTATTGTAATAACTTTTGAAATTCTGTTGTAATGTAATATAAATAGTTTTTAATATTTTCCATGCAAAGTAAAACTTATTTCATAAACAATATCTTTAAAATTCCTTTTCAGCAAAACTTATATTATTAGTATAGAGATGATTATTAAAGAATTTTTCTTGAATAGATTAAATATAATTTTATGACAGTGTTTGTTACAAAATCTTAGATTTATATATATATATGTTTAATATTTTGAGTTACTTATCTTTTCCATTAGAGAATCATTTCATAGGTTAACAGTTGCATTTTATAAACTTAATTACCTTAAGATTATATAAACTAGGGTTAAACAAAAACATATTTATTAAATATAACAACAGAAATTTAAAAAAACAACTTTCAAAGAACTAAAATACAAATTTTATCACTTACAAAAAAAAACAGTTAGTAAGCCCGTGCCTGGCCAGGACTAGATACAACATATATATCAATGTTATTAATTTCAATAAATATCAGGGGAATTACAAAAAAAAAACAATAAAAAAACCTAATTTTCCAGAGAATAACATAATGCTTCAAAATTTAACCACTTCTCAAGATCGATAACAATATTGAGCAACAATTATTTCTTACAGTACCTTGTGAACTAACTCATTGTCAAGATAAAAGAAACTTTTTATTTAGTGGTTAGACCATGAAGTTACATTTCATGTGACTATTACCATAAATCTACATAATCTTTCACAACATTAATATCTATATGCCACTGCTAGAGGAAGCTTATATCAGTTTCATAATATATACATACATACTCAAAATCAATGTGCTTTTGCTAGATGGCGAGTTAGTACTTTAATATAACTAAAATTTCATAGATGAACTAAATGATAGAATGAATAATAAATGAATGGTAAACAAAACCATGACAAAATAAAAGTAGAATTCATTATCTCACAAGATATATTAATACATTTTTGTTTCATATTCTCAGAACTTTGACTTAAGACTCAAGATATAACCATTTGAACTGAATTGTATTATTTGAAACAAAAGTGTATCGATATGTTACAAAGATATGAAGAACTCCAAGTTTGTACATAGCATAAATGCCATTTAAAAATTTTCTTTGCATTTTAATGATCATTATAATTCCAGGGCTGTGTCATTAAAAAGTATTAGATGATAATAACATTAATGTTTTTCTCCAGCTAATGTTCTTTTATTAATAAAAACTTTGTTGTCTTCTCTTACTTGTCAGTGTGGAGCTGTTTAATAGAACATGTGACGAAGCAAGAGATTGGATGTTGGAGAAGTTGGACAAGATGGATACAGATGAGATGGGTAGAGACATGAAAACAGTACAGGCATTGCAGAGGAGACACCAGGTAAGTGTGTTTAAAAAATAGAATATATGGGTGTGTGTATAATGTAAACAGATATTTATTATAGGTCAACTTGATCATTAATAAGCTATCAGAGAGTCAAAAGTATGTTTTGGTTATTAGACATAATGATGAAAAAGAAGTTATAAATTTATTGCAAGATGATTTACATAAAACTTTTATGTAGAAAATATGTATCATATTTATACTAGATTATTATTAAAAGCTTCCATTTTGACCTTTTCACTATGATTTTGAATATACACTTTTGTCTACCTGCATGTTTTTAATAGCAAAAATTACTACCCCATTATTCTTCTGTTTATGAAATTTTTATTCATTGCACCTTGTATAAAGATAAAGATTTTACAGGTAACCAACATGAGTCTAGTGAAGAGAAAACTAATACCAATAATAATTATGTCTTTAAAATCCAAAATAGATATAAATAATTAAAATTTAAACAACTACTAATTAAGCATATTCTGGTACATTTCCATGGACTTGAAGCCTTGAGATTGCTGAGCTTGATGATGTTTGAACAATCGCCTGTTTGCTTTCATCAAGTCTAATTAATTAAGCATTTGTTTTAATTAAAAAATGGATGAAATGCAACAAAAATTCAATTGAATTTAAATTGAATTTCGAATAGAAAAACTTAGTAGAGAATGATTTGATAATTTTATGTAGCAATAAAAATACACAATCATTTTTATCATATTCATTTTTCATAGTTAAAATGTTTGATAAAGTTTTCTTGTTAGAAGTAAGAGTAATTCTTTGATTTGTTACATATGGTGTATATGGTAAATATCATATAAGGTTTATAAACATATATAGAAGATATATATATTGTTACGTCTCTGTATGTTCGTTTGTTAATTTTCCTGAGATACAAGTCCTTTCTTAAACAAAACTAGTTTATTCTTCCTCAATACAACTTTGCAATACACTTAATTTCCACAGTTACTTTAACTTAAACACACGCTATAATTCACAACAATTCACTCACTTCACTACCGCGCTTGACTTAATTGTCCGTCTCTATCTCCACCTGTCAGCAACTATACTTCTGATCTCTGTATCTGCTATCCTCAGTTTCCACCGACCGTAACTGCTGTCCTTGGTTCCCCACTCTCCCTCTCTCTTTTGTCTAGTGCACTTATATACGATAATACCACCCACGTAGCCTCTTTGAGAATCTTCTAGACACTCATCACGTGCTACCAGCATCACTTGACTTCCGCTGTCGTAACACACTAGCATTTTTCGCGAATCTTCTAGATACTCATTACGTGTTACCAACGTCACGTGACTTCCGCTGTCGTAACAATATATATATAACAAATACACAAACAAATTTAAGTCTGTTGATACAAATATATAACACAACAACACTAACTCTTCTTGTGTTTATTTTTTTTACTAGTTTTGTGACTTAAAAGATACTATGTTTGTTCCAACTTAATACCTGGAAACAGATAACATTAATTAACTGTACAGTTTTTGAAATATACACAAATAAAATAACATAACAATAAAATAAAATCCTTATGTAAATGTAAATTGAATAGATTAAGACAAAAATTATTTTAAGATTACAAAATGTTTTTTCTTTTTTTTTTGTTCCCATCGTTTTTTATTTTGTAATTTTGTTTGTATGAGTGAGTTTTATTGATTCAAACTATACCTTAGTTACATTTAAGACATCTATTCATCAACCAGTCATTGATGAGCCAGACAAGAAATGCTGGAGAGCAAACTGCAGTATGCTAAAAATGGCTTTTATTATTCATTTTTGTAATTTTCTAGACAATCTTGAGAAAAGTAACTACCAGTAAGTAATAATGTGTTAAATTACTTTGTATTTTGAGACTTTTAACAATATAAACTATTCATATTAAATGAAATGAGGAATACAGACCTCAAACTGTTACTTTATTACATTAATTCTGTTATTGGCATCATCTGTTGTCAACATTCTTTCCTGCAGTTAATTACATAAAATTTAACTTTTATGTTAAATTATGTAACAAATATAATTAAGAATAAATTTATTATACCATATATTTTTAAGAATAATTTATAAAAGAAATTTAGAAGGAGAAATGTGTAAAACTAAAGAGGCGGTTATTCCTTTTGGAGTTACTTGTTGTCTAAGTATAGATAATGATATTTCATTTGTTAACACACAATAAAAACAAATAGTAAATAAAAAACTGAAAGGTATTTTCAAAGGTAATTAAATTATTTTATTAAGATGAGAGCCTAAAAACTTATTTAGATTATTGAATAAACATTTAAAAATTTTTTTTCAAAGGAAAGTGTTTGTGGTTATGAAGGAATGAATTCTGCTCTGTATAACTTAGCTTATATTAAATTTACAAGAAAAGAAAAGAAAAAGAAAAATAATAGAGAAGTTTTGTTTTTTGGTAATATTTTTTTTTAAATTACAATTCAAAAAATGTAAGATCTTTTGGAATGTGTAATCTGTGGTAAGTTCTATGTCAGCATAACAGATAATTTGAGATTTAGGATTAATTTACAAAATTTTTTGAAAAAGAACCCACTATATACCAGCAAACACTTTAACTAATTTATTATGTAGAAATTTAAAATTATGAAAAAACATTTGAAAAATATTCAATTTATTTTTTATGGCACTATTTTAAATAGATAGAGGTTAGAGAGCAGACATAACATTAGTTTAGTATGTTAATTTGAATTTTGCAAGTATTACTAGGAATTACAGAAAGGACAGTAAAGTGAGTAAAAGATACTTTAATCAAACTGTTAAAGATTACTCAAATAAACCATTTTTCTGTAATAGAAGAAAGTGATTGTGATAAAGTTTTGATCCATAAAATTGATTTATATAGAAAATTATAAAATAAAAAATGAAGAATTAGAAAAAAGAAAAAGCATATTTTATAAGTTTAACCTAACTCATATTTTATTCAGTTGATATAAGAATTGTATTTTATTTATGTGTACTTAAATATGTACAATATGCACATATTGTACTACAATATGTAGTTAATTGGTGTTATTTGTATTTAGATACTAAGTTAGAAAAAGTAGTATGTAAACGTTTTTTTAAAGGTTCTCATCAAAAACATGCCTTGAAGTCACAAACTAATGAAATGAATATGTGCATACACACACATACACATATATACATTATAAATATATTTCAATGAAATTTGGAAGTTTTGAGTTTATTTTAAAAGCATTTCCCATGTGTTAAGCTTATTTATTGTGTTTTATCTTTACTAATTTTTATGCATAACATGTTAATTTTTGTATATAGATGTAGTTATCATGATGAAACATTTAGCTTTGTGTAAAAAATAGTCATTTTTCTGTCCAGAATTTAGAACGAGAACTTGCTCCTGTGGAAGAAAAATTTAACAGAGTGAATCTCCTAGCTGATTCGTAAGTTTTTTTGCTTTTTTTTAGTGTCACTTAGCCTAGGGTTGTTCATCTTTGTGTTAGTGGTGGGTCACATAGTATTTTGAGTGCATTCTCAGGTCAGGACACTAGTTATTTATGAAAATTTTTTTTATCATCGTTTTATTGGTATTAACCAACCATACTATACATTGAAGAACTGTTAAACTTAAAGTCAAAAGAACTAAGAGAAAGCTGTATTGTTAGCTTCTTTTTTTTATCTTTATCTGGTGATTGTTCAACTGGTTGGAACTGCCTCACAGGTTACCAGCTAGACTTAAGTAAAAGAAATTTTTTTTATAATACTAAAAGATAAAAATTGTGTTCGTGAAAAGTATTTACTTTATTTTTCCAGCAAATTGAATATTGATTTTATCAGAGTATTTAGCTTTATTTTCTAACGTAAGTTATTCAACAACAACTAAAATTTTTGGTACTTTTTGAAACGAAATTTAAATGAAAGAAGGTAATGGTTTAAAGGTTTGATGTGCAAATTATTTTATTACATTGTTCTGAAGTATGTTTTATTTTAACAACAATTGTTATGACGTGAACACCTTTTCCATGTTGGTGAAGCTTGATTATAATTAATTATACTTGTAATAAGACATTAGTATTAGACCTATTATATTTTTTAACACTACATTCTTTATCTAGTGACTAGTCCATTGAATATTTTCAAGAATTAGAAAAGTGTATAATAATAGTATTTCAACCACACTATGTTTGCCACAGGGTGCCAGTGATGTATATCACTCAATCCAGAGCTCATCAGTCTGGCTGGGATACAACAAACACAGTAATGGTTGGAATGCTATTTATATAAGCCATGTGTTAGTTTGTTTGTTTGTTTATAATTAAGCACAAAGCTATACAATGGGCTATCTGCGCTCTGCCCACCACAGGTATCGAAACCTGGATTCTAGCATTGTAAGTCCGCAGACATACCACTGTGCCACTGGGGGGCGCCATGTGTTACAGCAACAGTTATTATGATGTGAACACCTTTAACAAGCTAGCAAAGCATGGTTATAATTAATTATACTTGTCGTAATAATTAGTATTAGACCTTTTGAAGAAAAGTATAACTAATTATGTTTTGGTTCGTTAAATATCATTCTTTATTGATCTTTTCTAGCTAAGCAAATATTAATCAATGTTTTTGATGTACATTCTGTCAATGAAAATTGATGAAACAGCAATAGCATGTTTTAGAATAAAGTGTTAATATTTCTTCCTGTCTTTTGAAATCCCACAATATATATTTAAAGTTATTGAAAAGTAGGAAAAGACAAGAATAAAGTAACATAACAAAAGTTGAAACATTTAAAAAACTGAATACACTACTTGCGGGAGTTAAGCTACATTTATGTAGGACAAAACCCTTGAAAAAAATATTGTCAATGAAACATTTGAAAGTGATTTTGTTTTTGTTTATAACAGTGTTTTATGAATTTATTGTTCATGTAGTTTTATTGTATTTCTTGGAATCACTTACAACATTACTCTAAATGATAAATTAGCTTACAATGCAAAATTAGAAGATACTTTTTTCTAAATTATCATTCTTATTCCAGAGTGAAGGCATCATATCCTAGTGAACGATCCAATATTACATTACGACAAAAAGAAATGCAAAGTATATGGGACAGAGTCAAGGTATGTTGATATTCTGAACATTTTTTATATTGTTAACCAAGAAATTATTTACTATTAAAACCATTTACAGTGTCATTATTAAGGTTAATTAAACAAAATTTTATATATTAGATAAAAGTTACTTTTGATCTTAATTTCACACTTCAATTCTTGTCAGTTTTATAATTATTTTTGTATGAAAAAACTATGTCAGCATTGCTTAAAGAATACTCTTTGACTTATATTGAGTGAAAATAATACATTTAAGTTGAGAAGTGTTAAAGATAATATTTTTTATGCCATTAGATGACAAATATCATCCAAGAAGTGTGGAGATAAACTACTTTACATTGTTCTATATTGAAATTGATACCACTATTGCCTTTTTTTTGTGGAGTGTGAAATGTGTGTTGGTTTTACATAAGTGCAAATTACAGTGTATGATCAGATTTTTTTTTTTAATATATGTTATTAGAGTATATTTGTGTGATATATTTTGATTTTTTTTTGTTTATTGATGATATGTTTTCTAGAAAATCAATCAAGAGTTAATAGCTCAGGTTTGTGTACTCTTGAGTTTGAAATACATAGTTTCTTCTTAATTGAGCATTTCAACAAACATTCATAGTCTCACTCTAAAGAGTTAATTGTATTGTTATTAATCTTTAACATTAATAAGAATTGTGTATATGTTAGGCAAAAGCAGCAGAACGAAAGGCAAGGTTAGATGAATCAATGGGCAGACAAATCTTCAATAACAGTGCCATGAGTCTGGTAAGTTTGATTTTGGATTATGGTATACCACAAACACACACACACTCACACACACACATATGTATATATATTACTGGAGAGAATTATGTAAATGATGACAAAAAGAAAAGGGTATAAAATACTTTGAAAATACCACCCCTTTATAATGTAAAAATGAACTGAACCAGCCGACAGTCACCTGTTGATATTTTAAACTTTCAACACGGGCTCAGTCCTTGGTACTGAACTCATTACCATTTTGTGCTTGTTATAGTTTTCATGCTATAACTTTTGAATTAGTAAGCATGTGTTAAGGAAATTGGGCAGATTATCAGTAAATATTACAATGCTTTCATATGCAAAATATCAATTTTTTTTATTAAGTCTTAAGGTTTGTTAAGACATAGTTTTTAACGTGTTTTTATTTTCACATGTTGCCTATCCAACATGCAAAGTAATTTTTATTTTAAGATTAAAAGTACTTTTGTGCATCAGAAAACTTTCAAATTTCACATGCGAAATCTTTATAATGTCCAAATACTTATCACACATTTCTTAAGAAAAAATCTTTATATTTTATCCGTTATATTTAGTAACTAACCTTTCTTTGTATGGGTTTGGTCGATTTGATCAATCTCGTAACCACAATTAAAAAATTAGGAAATAAATATAAATTATGCCTTTTTCATTCTAGAATGACTGCACATTATAACATGAAACCATAAATGTTTGGACTGAATATCTTAAATCTCATAACATTATATATTTATTATTTTTATTATATTGACATTGCAGCCATGCCAGGCCAAGAATACAGAAGTTACAATGACGTGGCGAACGTGCACTCATGTTACCATATCCAATAATATAGAACTGACCTTTAGTCTTTACAAAGTGACTTGTCTTGACTGTGTTTTAGTAGACTAGTATTTTGTAAAATACAGTCACATTCCAATTATTATACGTTATACTATATATATGTAGATTATTGCTATTTAGAAATAAGTTCTTAAACTTATTTTTCTTAAACATAGAACAGTAAATAAAGATGTAAAACAAACAGTTATCTCTTCTAGTTACGACCTTTGTACTCGGTTACTACTTGACATAGGTTGCTAACCTTTTTAAAGTTTTGCATGTGGAGGATATGAAACAAAATATTTTTTTAGGTTTTATATATACAGTTGGATAACCAAAAAATCATGAATTACTATATCAATATCATAGAATTCCACTATTATTTATGAAGCTTAGTAACTAAGCTGTATTTCAGTCTAAATAATATGAAATTTGATCCGACTGAAGACACAACCTTTCTCCTTGAAATCTTGGTTCAAAAGAAAGAGATGGCATCCAAAGATGTTAAATTGGCTGAGAATGCCACTAGGGGGACATTCTGAGCTTCTGATGGGTTATTCTTGTCATATATAAGTCACGTATGTGTAAGTGTACATAAGGGAGCATTTCCAAAAATGGAATGACGTGGGTGGGGTGCTACTCTGTTTCATTTATTACACTAGCAATATTTTAGTAAGTTCAAAAGATAAGAGGCTCTTATTTTATATTCTAGCTTGTCAATATTGGTAATTTGAGCTACTAATTCGTACGAAACTATAAACTTAGTATTTTGACATTACGAACATCTAATCTGAACCAGTACTGCATTCAACATACCATGTGACACACAAAAATCGATGTTTAACTGTGTTTTTTTAAATTAGTTTTAAATTAAGAAATTGAGTAAGGTATAATACTAAAATTTGAATTATATTCTACCAAACTTATTGACATAAATTCATGAAATAGTAGTTCAATAAAATTTTGAATGCAAGTTAACAAACGTGATGACATGGCCTTTCAACTGTGACCCTTCTGGAAAGGATTAAAATTGTGTTTGGTTGTCATTCAACCAGTTATAAAGTACCACACTAGTATAAAACTTATAAAAGTACAGGCATTCATATTGTACGAAGTAGTAATAGTGTGAATCCAATTGTGGCTCCCAATACTGAAATATCATATGAAAAGCATATAGAAACTAAAGTTTTGAATGCTCAAAAAAAATGAAAAATTGCAGTAAGACTTCTATGTTTAAGTAGGAACTGTATACAAGACTTCGAAGGTATGTGAAACTGGCACTGTTGATAATTGAAGTGGTCAAGGTAAAGCATCAAAACTTCCGATACGGTACATTACTTCCTCTCACATAAATATCTATTCTCGTTCAGTGCTGCCCTCTATATGGAAATTTTTTTATGCATGCCACAAGACTTTTATCTCCCCTCAATTGGAACTGACTGATTCCAATGTGTCTCTCATACACATCATCATGTTATAACCCTCCACCAATAAGAGTGCAACATACTCTCTTTGATGCATGTGGCTCCCTCTATTCAATTCTACCAAACTATCACTTTTCATTTGACAGTACTCATGTTCTAACATTTAGTTTGTGCTCTCTTCAAGTGTTTTATTAATATTTTTCCATATCTTTGTATTAATTTCTCTCAACAAGTTTACTCTTTAGTATACAATAGTGATATTTGTAACTTGTTTAGTTAGTCCGAAGTGGAATTATTTTATATTTCTATCTGGTTACAGAACTTATTACTTCATTACAACAACTTTTTATTGTTTCTGCCAACACAGTTGTGTTTGGTTATTCATTTTGCATTATGAATTCTATGTCATCACTTTGGAGGTTATGTATTTTATTAGCACATTTACACAGGCTTCTGTTCACGGTGCTCCTTGGTAAGATTTTCAGTTTTACTGTGTCGGGAGATTGATTGTCCAATGAACTGACTTTTGTTGGGCCTTGCCTTGAGTTTGGGAGCCCACACATTTGAAATACAGTCTGCTGACTTTGGAAAGATAAGACATTATACTGTTATGGTTTTTGTATACTTTTATTGTTAATATTATTATCTGTCCTTATTTAGGTTCCATAACATAAATTTTGTTAGATTGGTTAATACACCTAGTTAAGTTTAGATTAGCCATTAGTCTTAGTTGTATTTTTTCTACTATACCATTCACTTAGGCTTACTTATTGTTTTTCTTCCATACATCATATCTCATACATAGGTTATTGTTACCACACACTTCCTTAATTTTATACAAGCATATCTATTTCATTCTCTTTATTTTTCCCTTTGATTCTCTTCCTATTCATTTGGATTGTGTGGAACCCTTGAGCCGGGGTCCACACTAACTTATCCCAATATTGTACATACTTATTGTTTGGTTCAGTTTTTCTTTTAGTGCTTAGTGATATTCTTTATTATGTATTGTTCAATTAGGCTTCACAAGTGTTTCTTTTCAGTTTACCTGTAGTTCTACTTCTGGGTTAATTGATAATTAAGTTAAATATCTTGTTTGATTAGGCTTAATAAGTGTCTGTTATTTTTGGTGTACCCGTGGTTCCATTTACAGGTTCATCTGTATGAAAGTTAATTATCTTTTTTAACACATAACATCACATCCATATATTTATTTCCCTATACAATTACTTCACATTTCCACTGTATCAACTCTCTCATTTTCATATTTCTTTATAGTTTATACTTCTTACAACTGATTTTGTTTAATTTATGCTTTATAGTTTTTTAACACATGACATCACATCCATATGTTTATTTCACTACACAATTACTTTACATTTCCACTGTATCAACTCTCTCATTTTCATATTTCTTTATAGTTTATACTTCTAACAACTGATTTTGTTTAATTTATAATTTATACTTGTTACCATTAATTTCGTTTGTGAGGGCCCCTCGTGACCAGGACCCACCCTACTTGCTCCCAATATTGCTTGCCTTCCTCCTATAATGGATGAACCCATTTTCAGACGACCTAGATTTTGTCAGTTTTCCTTCACCTTCTCATAGAGTGCCTTTCAGGCCTCTACTGCAGAAAGTGCCAGGCCTATCTAAGTTAGTTTTTCGACACATTTCTCTCTATATTCCCCATCTCATGACATTGATTTTGATTATCTTATTATCACTCTTTTGAGATTGGATACTTGCAAGCCTCACCCTATACAGGCTTTAATTCTTTTTGCTTTAGCTTACCATCAGGCAGATTTTCTTCCTGATTTATGTCATCTGCTTCTGATAATCCTATCCATTTTATCCCCTACCTAGTTTTTTTCTTAGCTTTGTTTTATCCTATTGACACCCTACAATTAATGTTTACCTTCCACCTCCTTTTTTCTGTATTCCACTTATATTTGGGGATTTTCGTGGGTACCTCCTCCTTCTTTCCTTCATGTTGTGGTGTTTGTCATCTTCAGTTTATTCCCTCCATACGTGGTATCTTTGCTTTTAGGATCTTCTATGGTGGGATACTGCTCTTTAGTTACTATCCACTGCTAATCAGGTCTTACAGTCGGTTCTTTTTCTCTTTCAGTCCATTTTTTGGGGCTACTCCTGCACATTTAGCATCATGTGGGGTATCTGCAATGCCATATTAAATTTTTTTAGTTGCTTCTTTGTTTCATTCTGAGATATTATTATTATTTTTATTCGTTTCCCTTGTTACTCTTTTTTGATGCTCATCTCCAAAGGTGAAATGTGTGGTTCTATCAGTAGGAGGCTTTAGGATAATGTCTCCAATTGAAAGGCCTTATTCTTTTCACACCTGGAAACTTCTGCCAATTCAGGGTGCTTTAGTTCACACTCTTCTTTTTGTCTAGTTTGACTGATCCTGTTTCATTTCTAGTTGTTGATGGTGGTAGCTTATATCACTCACCAAGGGGACACTCCTTCTTATTCCCCTTGTGGTTAACATGTTTTTTTTTTAACTCTGACACTTGACATGCGTCTCCTGGAGGGATGTGTTGCAGGTGCTTTTCCTTGTTGCTAATTGAATTTACAATCCTGACACTTTCTTTCATGGAGTGACCTCTTGATCCTCCTAAATTTTGGTGACTATACCTCCTGTGGGGTACTCTTCCACATGAAGCTTTTGAATCTTTTCTCACTTCCCACTTGTCACCTCTTTTGTTTTTGGTATCT